TTTGTGAACTGTTATTGATTTCGGGACTAATTATTCATTGATGATCTTAAAATATTGCAAAAATATTGCAAGAATATTGCAAAAATATTATTGAATCATGACTGAATCCATAACTGATACACCAATTATATTATTCAAAATCACATATTATCCAAAGATCAATTGATTGGTCATATTTTCCAAGTTCGAAAAATTATGAAATTAAAGAAATTTATGTTACTATAGTAAAATTTGGTCCCTCTAAGTAAGATCGAGCTCTAGTGAGACTATTAAATTCTTTTCAAAATTTTTTTGATTTCTTCATTTCTTATATGTACCAAATCATTATAAGTAATTTATTGAAAGTTATATGCTTTTTCAAGTCCACATTTTTCTAACAGCTGGTAAATTTATTTTCCAAGAAGGAAGTATCTTCTGATGGAAGTAACTCCCTTTGATTATGCCATTTCTCTTTGTAGTTCTATTAATTTTCTTGAATGTCATTTAGACATTTCTTTGAGTAATTGTCCAAAGTAATAATATCTAATGAATTATGATTCATCAGATTAATTATCACAATTTTCAAAAAGATCATTGAATATCATCTGAATTCTTGTTTTCCAGCTTTAGTTAGGTCAAAATTGATAATTAATATTTACTGTAATTGCTGTCCTTGAAATTTCTGTATTGATTATATCCACAAATCATTTTACTCTAGAGATATTTTGTGGATTGCTTGTTGAAGTTGAGGCTTCTTCTATAATAGGTTCTGGTTGTTGAGATATTTCTAAGATTATACTGATATTAAGTTGTCTTCTAGTAACAAGATCATAAATAACTTTCTGACTACTGTCTTCAAGTATTAACTGATCTTCTTGAATTTGTAAAGTTCTATTAAATTTGTTGTCTTTCAATTATTGGTGAAGAGTCAAAATATTTTGAATAAAATCGAAATTACTAAAAAGAGTATTCATCTTTAAAAAGTTAAATACTAACAAGAAACTAAGCTATTTAATAAGAGTGTAAAAATAATTAAAATTTAAAGAAAATATCAAAGTAAAAGTTCTATATTTATAAAATGAAATTTTTAATAAGTGATCAGCATATATACTAAACATGGGTGCCAAAACTTTTTGAGTTGTGCCAAAAGGTTTCGGATTTCAGATATGTTGTTCCCAAACCATTTCCAATTCCCTAAACTACTTCCTGTTCTCCAAACCATTTCCAATTCCCTAAACTACTTCCGATTTTTCAAATTCCTGTCGAATACCGAGACATACATGGAAAGACGATCATGAGCGACCGAAGTCATGGGAATGACTATTATCATGAGAGATCAAATCTGATTGGCACGTGCCTGATTTGAGAGATAGAGCAGTATTTAGTGAGGTTTGGTCATTGTGCTTTTCATTCGCTGCATTTCTATGTGCCCAAAAACCTTTTTTTCTGGCTTATTATATGTTTTCTCCCATTCTAAATCTATAAGAGCTGCGTACGTACTGGATACTACATCTAGCAGCTATGCACACCCTACACCATTCTCTGATATAAGTGACAGATGTGTTCTATCGGATTTTTGAATATTTTGTAATGCAGGCAGATTATGAGTACGGGTCTAGAATGATCTGTATTGGATGCTAATTCACACGCAAAATAAATTCGTGTTTCTTGCTATGGCCAAGCTTTTTATAATGTTTGTAAAGTTCCTAAAGGTATTTTACACATCACCAGTCTCTGACCAGTATATTTCAAATAGTGATTGTGATTTCATGGTAACACTTTTAATATCAAATAAAACTGATCAATAACAAATTTATTATATAATTTAAAAATTTCTATTCTTGGTTTACAAAAAGATTGACAACAGTTTTAGGATCGTAATTCTCCTCTTGTTCAAGATTCACTATCCATTCATCTAATTCGTTATTATCTTCTTGAGGATTTTTCACATCTGTTTCGTCACCAACTGGTTAATTTAGGTGAGAGATATCTAAATTTATCATGTCTTACAATTTCAAAACTTGATCTTCTAGTATCTCACTATCATCATCAATATTTGATCTTTCCAAATTCACATTTAGCATAATCTGGTCTAAATCAATATCCTCTTCTTCATCATAAAGATCTGCCATTTTCAAAATTTGATGGATTTCATCAGCTAAATGATCTTGACCATAATAAGAAAGTTCTGACTTGTTGTTTGCAAGATAATATGAATGAATTTTTGCAATTGCTTCTAAATTTTCTACCAATAACTGACTATGATGCTTTCTGTAAATCCATCCACAAATAGACCAAATACGCTCACAGCTTGCTGCATGTGATGATACCAAAAATAGTTTAATAGCAAGTTGTTGAAGATAGGATGGTTTTGTCTCACAATTGTTCTACCATATTAGAGGAATATCATAATTAGATGCGTAGAAACTGTTATATGGTTGTTTTTTTTCATGATACTGGTGTAATTGAGTGATTAATACTTCTCCAGCTCGATTTTTTGAATGACTGTTTTGCTTTAGCATTTTGGTAATTTCTTTAATTTTAATCATTTATTGCCAGATAGTAGCCATGGCTATACCAATTTGTTCCATTTGTCCTGATGCAATTCCAATATCTAATAAAAAATAATAAGTTTAAATAATTTTAATAATTTACAAAATTGAATATTTACCTCTATATTCTGGATGTAAAAAATAAGCTAATAAATGTTCATCAAAATCAAATTCTTCAAATTACTTATTAAAAACTTGAATGTAATAACATCGGAATATTTTGTGATCTTCTTCTGGAATTTTTTTAATTACAGTACCAAGATGGACAAGACCAAAAAAACAATCTGCTATATTTGCATTTTGTCTTTCTAAGCAGATAATAGTATCTTTTACCGGTTTTATAACCATTGCTAGATCATTAATATCTTGAAAAAATTCTTGTTTACGCAAAATAATACTTTTAACTGCTTTATTTTGAATTACATCAAGATTTTCATTAATAATCTTAGAAATAAATATTATTAATATTAGTTAAAAATATAAAATTTAAAATATATTATTATTAAATTTACCTCTTTCAAACATATTTCCAATCGATAAATTGAATCAAGCATTTCATAAGCTGTTATCCATCTAGTTTCCAAATAAGTTTTAAGACCTCCATCTTTGATTTTTTTTTCTTGGATTTTTTTTTCCAGAAGATTGCGTAGTAAATGACTTTTTTTGAAATAAGCTGTAATAGTATTTGCCCAATTCAAAATACGAATAGCAAAATTGTGTTTGACTAAATCTTTAGTAATAAGATTTAGACAATGTGTAATATAATAAATATTCAAAATGTGTGGATACTTTTGAGTAATAATTTGGTGGAATAGGTTAATATTAGATCCAGCATCAGTAACAATTGCTACAAATTTTTCAACTCCAATATCTTTGAAAACTGTTTCAATTTGCTCAACAAGAAATTCTGCCATATGACTTTTGTGAGAGAAATCTTGAATACTCCAAAGAATATCTTTACCATCAGAAGTGTGAATTGCAAAATTCCACAAAGATTTTTCCACTGGACTTGACCAATCATCCAATGCTAAAATAGAGAAAATAAATATATATATTAATATATTAAATAAATATATTATTAATAAATATTTAATA